GTATAATCATATGTGTTTAGTTTAAATCTAGAAGGGAGAGCCAGAAATGAGTGCACCTTTCCACACTCCTTTCCACCTGGTGCCCTGGCCATGCTATACATGGAAACAGAGGCTTACATAGATGCTTTGACTTTTCCTCTGTCAGAGGTGTCATCTGTGCCTTTCCAAGAGTTCATCTGACAGTGTGAATTTAAATGCCTCCATGTTTGTTAAATCACACTTGGGTGACGCTGATCCAGGTGGCTGTTGTCCCACCAGTGCCTTTCCGTTAGTGTGAGGTGAGTCCTCTCTGCTTTAGGAAAAGGATTTTTCTCCCTAACCTTGTGCCAACTATTGATATCTCCATAGTCATGGATTGTAGAACTGTTGGCTGCTTCCTAAATTTATTCTAAGTTCTTATAAAGGCATATAGATTTCAGTCTGTTCATAACGGGATAGATTATGTCAGTGGCTTTTTGGCCTCTTTGTAAAGTTTAAAATCCATATGAAGTTGGTTTTACCTTGTTATTTATAAGGTAATATCTTTGTGAGGTTATTCCACTGCTTGTGTGATTACTTGGGTGTCATAGTATTTTTTAATGGCCTTCATTCTTAGTTGTGAAATTTTATCTTATGCTCACTTACCCTTTATAAATCTGCCTATTTGGGGGTTGTGGTGCCTGTGTATCTGCCCGTCTGGTCTCCAGTTGGTGGAATTTCCTTTTGTACTGCCACTTCTCAGCATCTTTGAAATTTGACATAATGTTGCTTCATTCCAGTTTTAGTTCTGTAACGTGTTGATTGTATTTAACTATGTGAGTTCTGTTGTGATGTTTACTGTATTGTAAAGCACCTCATTCATGTGATGGGGGCTCTATAAATCAATAAATGATGACTTAGAGGCTGTATCATGAGCTATTTTGGTTTTAGGATGCAGGTCTCAAAAGCAAGTGTGGGATTCTTTTTATATAAACGGCCCATGATACCAAAAGGTCCACAAGGGGAGCCTTGATAAAGAATTTTTAAAACTTCATGTAAAGAAGGAACCAGAGGGTGGGAAGTTAACTTCCAACCTGATATAATGGTCTTAAATTTTCTAGTAAAGGACCATCCACCCTTCTTTAATCAGAGTTTTCTGTGATGCTAATTTAGAATCTAAATAAAATGAGTACATGTTAGAGCATTATTGGAAATTTTGTCTTTGGTCTAAACTGGCTCTACCATAAAGATAAGCAAAAGATGAAGGACCCAGACACAAAATGTGAACTGGAAGATACCACAGGCACCATCTCAATCACCCTCTGCCCTCTTTTAAACAGAAGGACACACTTGCCCAAATCTCTGCACAGGATCACTTCGTAAGTTAGTGGCAAAAGAGGCAATATAGTTTCGTTTTGTTTAAGTAGGATGTTAATATTCAGCTTCTTACCCTACATCTTTACATCCAGTTCAGTGTTAGGGTGTTAAAAGCTTGTTTGTTGATACAAATTGCCAGTGGCTATTAAGAGCTCTTCCTTTCAAACAGAAAACAACATGGAGCTGAGCTTGCTGCTTACAAAACAAGAAAATCCTTGAGAGCTGTTGGGGAAGATTGGGAGTCATTTTCCAAGTTTAATTTCCCTGTTAAATATATTTGAGATAAAATTATTACAGGAGGGTATGAATAATGTTGCTGAACACATCAGTTTTATGCATAACCATCTACTCGAGGTTCATAGCAAAAATGTTTTTATTTGCATGCTGCTTCCAATGCAAATGAGGTTTTGGGTGTGCCTACTCTGTGCCAGGCACTAACTGGGCTTTTAGTAAAAATCAATTGATTTTCTCCCAACCTCTCAGAGGATTGTAATCATGTTATTAAATTAATTTTTTTTTTCTGGGGGATTACAAACCTCAACAGGATTCAGTCTGCAGAGCAAGTTATTTCTAGGATAAAGTATTTTTGGTCACTCAGTTTCAGATATAATCTGTATTTCATGTTCCTTGCCCCGAATCAAGTTCCACATTTTTGACTTGTTGAGTCAGCGCATCACACTGAGCTGTAGTGAAATGGTTAAAGAGTTTGAATCCTGTTCACATAGGTGGGATGAATTGAAGAAGGAAGAAGTTCACAAAAGGCAGCCATATTTCAGACATAGGATCTGCACAGAAAACCACAGGAAAGACTTGATTTTTTCTCCTGCCGGCAGTATTCATTAGGAATAAGTAATACTTGTGACATCTCATTTATTCCTAAAGAGCACCAGTTCTTATTTATTGAGGTTCTACTTTGTGACAGGCTTGTGCTAGGTAGGCTTCATAAAGGATCTAGCCAAATTCTTACACGGATCTTTCAAAGTAATAGTTTCTTACATGAAAATAAGTTCAGATAAATTTGTCAAGATTGCAGAGCAAGCAAATTTCATGGCCAGGTTTCAGGTCCACAACCTTCCTTACGTACTGGGTGCCATTCTCTCTGACGTCAGGAATACCATTTCCAAAGTCACATGGAGAGTGGATGTGTTGAGGCTGGTACTTGAACTCAATTCATTGGACTACCACCACTTTGGGTCTAGCAACGCCCTTGTAATGGCACTGCGTCCCGGAAAGTGCTCTGAAGGCAATCAGCATTCATCCCTTCTGTATTTCATGTTCCTTGCCCGAGTCAACTCCACATTAAATTTCTAATAACCTGGTGCCAAACCATTCACAGACGACCAGCCTTTGGGTCGGGGTTTTGTACGTAGCAGAGCAGCTCCCTCACTGCAATCGTCAAAGTCAGCCCTCGACAGAAAGGTTTATAAAAAAGAAAAATTTCTATTAATCTGGTAGAAAAACCTGAATTAGGTCTAAGATGAACGATGTTTTCTAGTGCTCAACATACTCAAGATGACTATATTTCAGGTCAGATCTAGTGTAGCTCCAACCACTCCTGTTGGGTGTTGTAGTCGCTGAGTATTACAGATGTTTTCATTTACAGGCGTTAAGAAGTCTTCTAGAGCTCAGGATTCATCCAGGTAGAGCCCACTCAGCAGACAAGGGCCCAGAGACAGGACTGTATTAAAGGTGTTCTTAAAGGACTGCTTTTACCTCTGTTAGAGGGCTTTTTTTTTTTTTTAAAGATATTTTTATTGATTTTACACAAAGAAGAATTGAGAGGGATAGAGTTAGAAACGTCAATGAGAGAGAAACATCAACCAGCTGCCTCTTGCACACCACTGGGAATGTGCCCGCAACCAAGGTACATGCCCTTGACCGGAATCGAACTCGGGACCTTCCAGTCCGCAATCCGACGTTCTATTCACTGAGCCAAACCGGTTTCGGCTAGAGGGCTTCTTGAAGGTAGGTTTTGATGAGGAGGTAGTTAAGCCCTTGAGTTGATTAGGTGAGTTCTCTTTTGACTTTGGACATCTAGTCCCAAGTAATTGAAAGGGGGAGGATTTGAAATTAGGAAAAAACACATGTTCCCCTGGGAAAGGGTTGTCATCAAATTCACTAAGACTCATGATCCTTCAAATCATTACTGTGGATTCTAGTCCAATTCCTTCTTGATGCAGATGGAGAATCTGAGATGGCAGTGTAAAGCTTGCAGGGACTTGCCCAACCAGGAAATCAGTTGCAGAGCCAAACTTGAACCCAATTCTCCAGACTCCTGGTGTAGGTCACAGTGGTTACAACTCATCTAACATTCTGAAACGCCAGACACTAGTTAGGCTGGTGTAGGTGAGGCAAAGGTAAGTTATATGCTGTCAGACCAGCCATCAGTCATGTCACCACTTTTAAGTCATTTTTATGTTGAGACTCAGACAATACTTATAGGGTACTGTTAAAACAGATGAGGTGTTTGTGGCCAGAGAAGAATGGCTGGCTTGCTTGGTCACCCTGATGGCTCCAAGGGCTTATCATTTGGCACATTTATAACCCATTCTTGACAGGGAATCTTCGAGCTAGGGCACCTCCATTGAACCTGGCAAGTATCGTATTCCCCTCTCCTTAGTCTAAGTGCTGCTTGCTCAATGCAGCTCTTCTAATCACCTCCCTGACCATACCACACATCTTTAGTTTCCCCACCACAAGTGGACCATCATTTCCCTGGGCATCTTATCGTTCTTACATATTTCAATACCCTCCTCCATCTCCCAGATGTCCTTCAGCCAGAAGTACTCTTCCTCAAATTTTAACCCATGACCCTGTTTCCTATGTTCTGAACTCCAGATTCCTGCTCCACTTCACTACCCCCTAATGCTTAATCTTGGGGTAGTACCTAAAACTTCTCCAACTTCAAGCCCTCCCCCCTTTTCTATTCTGACACCCTCATCCTGTTCTCAAATCCTTCCTTCAACCCAACCTTACAGCTTTAGTAAAAGTAGTCTAAAAAAAAAAAAAAGTACATATAGGAGACACTGAAACCAGGACTTCCAATCTATGTTCTCTCCCAACGTTTCTTCATTCTCTTCTGGTTGGTACGGTTGCCTGCAAACTTCAATCATAATATTGATGTCCTCCAGCCTTCTCCCCGATCTCCCTCCACTCCCATCTATGTCCTCCTGTTTTAGTAGAATAGCAGTGACTTCCTTTTGCATTCATTTGCAGGGACCTAAAACCTCCTCCCCAGGGACCTAGAACCGTCTTTTAGCCTGGTCCCTCTCCTTTGGCTCTTTTCCCTCAGCCTTTCACATCTCTACAAAAAAGATCTAAAGACGCACCCCCCAACCCCCGACCTTCTCACGGCCAAGTGTTCCCAAAGAGGAGTCTATGCTGTCCATCCTTTCCAGTGCCCGCCCTGGGGAGTGCAATATGACAGAGCCAGGCCGGTGCCTGATCAGTCCCGGGCTTCGAAGGCACGGAGTGAGGAGAGACGAGCTTTGGGATTTTCCGGTGTCCGGCTGCTCCCTCCAATTTCATTCACTGTTTTTTTCACAGCCTAGGCTCCTCCCTCTGCCTGGACTCCCATGACTCTCGCGAGACCTGCGGCCTCCGTTACGCACCGCCCCGATTGAGCGGCGCACTTCTCGCGAGGCTGCTGGCAGGGCCGGGCCGACATGGCGGAAGGTAGGGTTTTTGTGGAGCCGCGCGGGACAGCGCCGGAGCCGCGGGGGCGCTGCGGCCGGCGCGCGGCAGCCCCGAGCGGGGATGGCGGGACGTGGGCGCACGGGGCTCGGCGCGTGTCGCGAGCCTTCCTCCTCAGCCTGTCCCCGGCGTCTGGGGCGGGGGGTCTGGAACGCTATTCCTATGGCAACGCCCCTCCGGCGCTCCGGGACCTCACGGGACCCCGGGGGAGCCCGGGGAACCCTGGCGGGCGGCGGAGCCGGGTCGGGCGATCCCATGCCGGAACCGAGTGCAGCCGCGGGGTCCCCAGGGCGGCCGGGAGGCTTCTTTGATTCCCCGCGGTGCTGGGACGGCGGGGGAAGTAACCCTTCTCCTTAGGAAACCGAAACTGCTGTCCTGGCATGTCCTGCGTCCGGAAGGGGTGCATCCCTCGCCTGCGGAAGAGCCTGGGACTCTTCTCGGGGTGAGGCGTGGGCAGAGCCGGGGCTGTGACTGGCCGGCGGGCACGCGCTGCGGTCTCCGGACTCCCCTGCAGCCCCGGCACCCGCGCCGGCTGAGCCTTCCTCCGGCCCCACAGATGGGCGGGAGGAGGGCTTTGCTGGTGAGGGATTGGCCTTGGTCACGCTGCTGGAAAGGGGGATGCTGCTCCTTTGCTCCTCTGTCTAGTCCTGAGCCTCTGTCTGGGGCCGTCTTTATGACACTGCAGATAAAGGCAATTTGGGCTCTTAAGGTCTATTTCCCTTAAGGAGACAATATTAGAATCCTTCATTGTCCAAGCAAGCCTTATTGTACCTGTGGGCAGGGGGATGAGAGGGAAGGCCCAGATGTGAGTTACCTGCCAGGGACACTGGGACCTGGCCAGTGTGCTGCCCCTGTTCCATCCCATTATTGGAGGAAAATACTCCTTATTTGACTTATTGAGCGACTGCAAGGTGCTGGTCACAACCTGTCGTGTTGGTTTTGAGTTAAGCTTTGTCTGAACGCATCTTTTTCTTTTTTTTAAACCCTCACCCGAGGACATACTTGTGTTGGCTGTAGAGAGGGAGGGAGAAGGGGGGTAGGGTGGGGGAGACAGAGAGACAGGAACATTGATGTAAGGGGCATTCCTTGGTTGCTTCCCACATGCACCTTGACCAGGGATGGGACCAGCAGCCTGGGTATGTGCCCTGACTGGGAATGGAACCTGAAACCCACTGGTGCACTGAGGATGCTCCAACCAACTGAGCTGCCTGTACACGGCTATCTAACCGCATCTTACCTTTGGGTGGCACGTGACAGTTTGCAGGTTTTTCTCATTTGGATTAGACTTTAGAACAAGGTGAAGGAGGCCTGGCATGTGTGTTATCTTGAATTTAAAGTTAGAATAGAGAGCCAGGACTGGCACCCAGTTTTTAAAAAAATTAAGCCTAGCCTGTTTGGCTCAGTAGATAGAACGTTAACCACAGACTGAAGGGTCCTGGGTTTGATTCCAGTCAAGGACATGTGACTCAATAGCAGGCTTGATGCAAGACCCTGGTTGGGGTGTGTGGGGGAAGCTGCTAATTGATGTGTCTCTCACATTGATGTATCTGTCTCTCCTCTTCCACTCTCTAAAAATCAATGGAAAAATATCCTTGGTTAGGATTAACCAAATAGCATTTTGTTTTTATTATTGACAGTATTACAGATGTCCCCCATCTTACCCCCTTCTAACCCTAGCCTCCACTCAGTTTTTCTTTGTCCTTTTTAGTATGTTAGATCTCGGAGGGGGGAAATCATCAGATACATCCTATATAATAAAGAGATAATATGCAAATTAACCCTCACACCCTCACAAGATGGCTGCCTACAATCAGGCTGGCAGGGGGGGTTAATGAGGGATGACCAAATGACTGAACAGCAGGCTATGTGGGGCAACCAGGCCGGTGGGGGAACAGTTGGGGGTGACCAGGCCAGCAAGGGGGCCAATTGGGGGTGACCAGGTTGGCAAGGGGGGCACTAAGAGGTGACCAGGCCAGTGGGGGACAGTTAGGGGTGACCAGGCCGGCAGGTGAGGATGCAGTTAGGGGCAATCAAACTGGCAGAAGGCAGGGGCGGCGGTTAGGGATGACCAGGCAGGCAGGTGAGCAATTAGGAGCCAGTGGTCCAGGATTGTGAGAGGGGTCCTGGATTGGAGAGGGTGCAGGCTGGGCTGAGGGGACTCCCTCCCCACCACCACCCCATACATGAATTTCGTGCACTGAGCCTCTAGTATTGTATGAAAGCATTGGAGGAATAAAAGCAGAAAGAAAGCTACATTTCATGAAACTAGTTTTTGGGTAAATCACAGAATGTTGTGTAACATTGTTTAACACCCTAAGCAGCCAGCAGTTTGTAGCTCAGAGCAGTGAGGTGGGGTAGAAAGGTCCAGGAGGAGGGTCTTGTTGTGGGGTAGTCCAGTATTTTTATACTAGGACGAGAATGGAAGTTGGTGAGTGTTTTGGAGACACATTATAAAGGTTGAAATTATGGAGAGCAGCTGGTTTTTCACTCAGCAGTTTTACTGAGCATTTATGGTGTGCTTCAAAGTCAGGTTCAGCCATGAGGCGTTCATACCGGGCAAGTATGCCGATGGTTACTTCAAGTGCCTTGACGTGCGTGTAAGAGTTAGGGTAACATCTACTCAGTGGAGTATGCATCTGAAACAAAACATCCTTTTAGGGTTCAATTTAAAAGGGAGGATAGATAGGAAAGCACAGTCATGAGATGCTGGCTTCACAGTTTTCTTTTACCATTTTTGCGTCCTAATTTCCTGGCCTCTTCTGATTTCAGCTCTTTGGAGACCATGTTGCAAGTTGACTAGGAAGAATTGAGTCGGGCATTTTAGTCCAGTTAGCTCATTAAACTGACAGTGCTTTTTATGCAGAGGAAGGCAAGATTCACTAGAAAATGCTTTGCTGGGGCGTCACTTGTTTAATGATGCTTGCTGTTTAATGCTTACTTTAGTAAAAATTTATCAATTGGGCTTCACTTATTCTGAGATAGTCATTTAAATATTTAAAAAAAAAACACAGCAAAAATCTGTGTCATATAATAATTGGATTATCTGCAAGAACACTCTGGGACCATCCTGGTAATGGTTTTTGTTTAGTGGTGTTAGAGCGTGAGCATGTGGAAATCGTGCTTAGGAATAGTAAGCAGAACCTGGAGAGCCTGAGCGTACATATAGTAACTTTTTTCTTAAGTTTATCTTTATTATTTTTTTATTTTACTTTTATTTTTTTTAATAAAAATATATTTTATTGATTTTTTTTTTACAAAGAGGAAGGGAGAGAGAGAGAGCTACCGTGTTTCCCCGAAAATAAGACATCCTCCGAAAATAAGACCTAGAGCATAGAAAGATAAGACATCCCCTGAAAATAAGACCTAGCGCAACTTTGGGAGAAAAAATTAATATAAGACACTGTCTTATTTTCAGGGAAACAGGGTAGAAACGTCGATGAGAAACATCGATCAGCTGCCTCTTGCACACCCCTACCGGGGACGTGCCTGCAACCAAGGTACATGCCCTTGACTGGAATCGAACCCGGGACCTTTCAGTCCGCAAGCCGACGCTCTATCCACTGAGCCAAACCGGTTTCGGCTATCTTTATTATTGAGAGCTTTACAGATGTTCCATGTTGCTCTCCCCCATCCCCAATTTTCTCCATTGATCTCCTCCCCACTCCCAAAGCCTCCCCAGGGCTTCACCACTCTCTAAAAATCAATGGAGAAAAATAGACTATTGCACTATTGTCTGTGTCCATGGGTTATGCATATATGCATATAAGTTTTTTGGTTAATCCTTGTCCCAAACTGCATTCCCAAACAATAACTTTTTTTTTTTTTAAAATATATTTTTATTGGTTTCAGAGAGGAAAGGAGAGGGGGGAGAGAGAGATAGAACCATCAATGATAAGAGAGAATCATTGATCAGTTGCCTCCTACATGCCCCCTACTGGGGATCGAGCCAGCCATGTGCCCTTGACTGGGACCCTTCATTCTGCAGGCTGATGCTCTATCCATTGAGTCAAACCAGCCAGGGCCCAAATAATAACTTCTTAATGTGACTTGCTTGGAAACCACTTTTCTTTCCTTCCATCATCCATGGGCATTGATTTGACCATGTATAATTGGCTAAAGTCTGTCCTAAAAGTTTTCATTTCCATTCTACGTCTCTGCATAAGCTGACTTTTATTCAGATGTCTGTTCAGTTTTCACCTCTTTAGAAACCTTTCCTAATTTTTTAAAAGAAATTCCCTTTCTGGAATATAAACCCCATGAGGGTAGAATGATGCTAAGGCTTCAAAGGAAATGTTGGTGTGATGGTGTTCAGAAAGAGAAAGATGTCAAGGTGCATCCCAGAGGGAATATGTTGTTTGCTATTGAGGCATAACTGAAAAGTAACAAAATTCTCCTGTTTTAACTTGACAGTTGAAGAAAATTTAGTAGTGTAACCACAACCACAGTCGTCATATGGAACATTTCTATAATCTTAAAAATTTTTCCTTGAACTTCTTCACAGTCTGTCCCATTCCCCTGGCCCTTGGCAACCAGTGATTTGGGTTCTATCATCATAGTTTGCCTTTTCTAGTTTCATGTGGGATTATACAGTATGTAGTCTTATGTGTCTGGCTTCTTTCACTTAGCATATTGATTTTGATGTAGTATGTTTTATGGCTGATAAGTATTTCATTACAGTCATGTGCTGCCTATTGAGGATGTGTTCTGAGAAATGCATTGTTAGATGAGTTCGTCATTGTGTGAACATCATAGATTGCACTAACACAAACCTAGATGCTATAGTCTAGTGGTCGGCAAACTCATTAGTCAGCAGAATCAAATATCAACAGTACAACGATTTAAATTTCTTTTGAGAGCCAAATTTTTTAAACTTAAACTTCTTCTAACGCCACTTCTTCAAAACAGACTCACCCAGGCGGTGGTATTTTCTGGAAGAGCCACACTCAAGGGGTCAAAGAGCCGCATGTGGTTCTCCAGCCACA